CACGGAGACGCTTCCTGCCACACTGGTGATACTGCTGCTGCTACTCGTGGTCGATAGCTAGGTGGTCACGCCGCAACCTACCATGCACTCCCTCCTCCTCCTACTCCTCTCTCCCTCACCCTCTCCCCCTCACCCCCTCTCCCTCACCCTTCCCCCTCTCCCTCCCCTCGTGTCACGCCGCAACTCTCCCCTCGTTTGTACACCTCAACCCCCCCTCTTCCCCCCTCCCCTCACTCTCCGCATGCTACTGTCTCTCGCTTCCTCTCTTTCTCTCCCTACTGTTCCTATCTGTGTTCTTCATCCTTTAATCTCTCTCTATCTATCTCTCCCTCTCCTTCATTCCCCTCACTCATCACTTCTTTTCGCCTTACCCTATTCCCCTCACACCCTTCTCTTCTTCTCTTCCTCCATCTGTTTCTACCTCTTTATCACACTCCTGGTCGTCAATCTTTCTCTCTCTCTTTTTCTGTCTGTCTGTCTGTCTCTCTCTCCACGCCTTTCTCTTTCTCCTCTTCCCCTCTGTTTCTCCCCTTTCCTCCTCCCCTTCTACACTTCCTCCCCTCTACATCACGCACATAACAATCGCTTTTCCTCTCTCTCTCTCTCTCTCTCTCTCTCTCTCTCTGCCTGCCTGACCACTGAAGACACGATTACATCACTGTGTCCACCAATCCTTTTTCTCTTCCTCCTCCTCCTCCTCCTCCTCCTCTCTCTTCCTTCCTTCCCTCACTTCTTCTTCTTCCCTCCCCATAGGTTACACACACACACACTATGACCCGACGTGGTCCTCCTGACGGGTCTGGGGGGAGGGGGCATTACATCTCTGTCTGGCGGTGACACTGTAGGCTGCAGAGGATGTATACTTATGGCTTGAGTGCGTGATCATACATACATACATACATACATACATACATACATACATACATACTTTTCTTGTTTCCTATGTGGTTATCAGCGTGTACATGGATCACGCGCACCTACAGTGATTTATTTACCTACATACATACATACATACATACATACATACATACATACATACTCAATATATTTCTTCATAACACTTCTTTAAATATTCTAATCGTATATTTACCCGAATAAAACCTCCTCTCTTGTTATTTTTTTTGGTACATTTATTACGTTGGTTAATATTTCAGTAGTGTAGGAGCTTGTGTCGAGGTCATATACTGCAAAGAATTCGTTGTGTTATGTTGTGTTATGTTGTGTTGTGTTGTGTTATGATGTGTTGTGTTGTGTTGTGTTGTGTTATGTTATGACCTTTTATAACACAGTAATGACAGTCTCTGTACCTTGACCTGGTTGCCATGACGACCTTATAACACCTGAACTGTGTTACCTGTAGTCATATACACCATGGCAACTGTAATTTAAGTGAGTCCTGTCGTTGCCATATTTAGAATCAGGTGTTTTATGAGGTATTCACACACACACACACACACACACACACACACACACACACGCACACACACACACACACATTCCTCTAATCTTTTCCACCGTAAGTTGTTAGTGTATGATAATTAGCTAAAACGTGAACGATAATGAGGTAATAGTGAACGATAATTAACGAAAATGAACGATAACTACGATAATTTAATTCAGCGTAAACAAATTATATCGCCTGGCAGTAATATGTATAATAACCAAGGGATGATAAGGGTATAACATCACCGTAACATAATCATATACATATGGGCGATAATCAGGCAGTATTGGCGGAATTATCACCCGTAAATACTCGTGTTTATAGTCAACGCCGCCGCGGAGGTATTTAAACGCGGAGGGAAAAAATAATTACTCAGGGGAATTATTTAGTGTATGGTGAAGTGGTGTTGTGTATAGTGAAGTGGTGTTGTGTATAGTGAAGTGGTGTTGTGTATAGTGAAGTGGTGTTGTGTATAGTGAAGTGGTGTTGTGTATAGTGAAGTGGTGTTAGATATAGTGAAGTGGTGTTGTGTATAGTGAAGTGGTGTTGTGTATAGTGAAGTGGTGTTGTGTATAGTGAAGTGGTGTTGTGTATAGTGAAGTGGTGTTGTGTATAGTGAAGGTACAGGTATAGTGAAGTGGTGTTGTGTATAGTGAAGTGGTGTTGTATAGTGGAAGTGGTGTTGTGTATGGTATGGTGTTGTGTATAGTGAAGGGTGTTGTGTATAGTGAAGTGGTGTTGTGTATAGTGAAGTGGTAAGTTGTGTATAGTGAAGTGGTGTTGTGTATAGTGAAGGGTGTTGTGTATGGTGAAGTGGTATGTTGTGTATGGTGAAGGGTGTTGTGTATAGTGAAGTGGTGTTGTGTATGGTGAAGTGGTGTTGCATAGTGAAGTGGTGTTGTGTATAATGAAGTGGTGTTGTGTAGTGAAGTGGTGTTGTGTATAATGAAGTGGTGTTGTGTATAGTTACTAGATTGTGTATTTGTTTTGTGGTTTTGAATGTCATGTATACCTTGTGTCTGTCTGTCTGTGTGTGTCTGTCTGTGTGTCTGTCTGTGTGTGTCTGTCTGTGTCTGTCTGTCTGTGTCTGGTTCGTCTGTGTCTGTCTGTCTGTGTCTGTCCGTCTGCGTCTGTCTGTCTGTGCTCGTCTGTCTGTGTCTGTCTGCCTGCGGGTTCGTCTTGTCTGTGTCTGTCTGTCTGTGCTCCGTCTGTCTTCGTGTCTGGGTTCGTCTGTCTGTGTCTGCTGTCTGTGTCTGTCTGTGTGTGTCTGTCTGTCTGTGTCTGTCTGTGTCTGTCTGTCTGTGTCTGTCTGTCTGTGTCTGTCTGTGTCTGTCTGTCTGTGTCTGTCTATAATATGTGTGTTTGTCTCTCATGTCTGTTTATCTGTCTTTAGTTCAAGTGTCTCTCTCTCTCTCTCTCTCTCTCTCTCTCCCTCTCTCTCTCTTGTGTCTGTCTGTCTCTCCCATATCTGTCTGTCTCTCATGCCTGTCTGTGCGTGTGTCTGTCAAAATATAAACACATCCAGACTTAACGATCCAACGCCCATCTGTAAACGACTAGTTACAAATTGACAAACTGAACATATAAACAACCAACCTCTCAGTGTATAGTAAGTACTACCAGGTGATAATTAACCTCGAGAGACGACTGATGACCTGATACAGTACCGGAAATATTATGTAAAAAAAATCAAAGAATATTACATAAAAAAAAAAAAATATCTTAATTATCTCCAAAAATTAATTAACAGGTGAGGTGTTAATAGATATAGTGAGGTAATTAAGTTATCTACCTGAGGGTCTTCACCTTGGGTTGGCTATAGTGAGGGGATCAAACCTGACTGTGTGGATAAGAATGAGGGTGTGTGGGTGGGTGGATAGGTTGGTGTGGGTGTATGTGGGGGTGTGTGGGTGGGGTGGGTGTACTGGCGGGGAGAAAACACTTATACCTGTGGTGTTGAGAGGTGTGGTGTTGAAAAGTGTGATAACTTAAGTTCAACACTAACTCTTTATCACCATGACAGGACGATGGCTTAAGCCTTTAAGGACGACGATGGCACTACGACTGTCAACTGATGGAAGCGATTTACTCAAGAGGGATGACTACCAACACCACGACCAGCAACACAACGCAACACAGTATCTCAACTCACAAGGTAACAGTTTCTAGTATTCGTTTAGGTATTTCTCGATAATGTTGCTGTGTTTATTATTGAATGATGATTTAAAGGGACAATTTCTTCACACTATTCCTAAGTTACTCTCTGATATAAAAGCTTTTGTGACGTAGATACAGGAAGCGTGGGTATAGAATTTTATTGCTTGATATAATTTCTATCTCCTTGGGAACTAAAGTGTATGGGTGAGAAATTATTCAGTCTTATTTACAAACTTTCTCTTATAATTGTTAAACCAAAAAAGTCTTAAAACCTTGGGTAGAGGTTTAGAAAGTTGTTGTGGTGTTAGTTTTTCAATTATCAAAGTCGTAAATTTTTTTGTGTGTAAATTGGAACCAAAGTTTATAGGTCAAAGTTGTTATACTATTAATTCTGAATAACTTTTGATGTATAACTCAGATACATATACAAACACATATAGATTATGTATAATGTGTCTCCTCGTTTCCCGTGATACACTAGGGCGGACCTCCATGTTTCGTTCTAGTGTAGTGATGATTGTGGGACCCGGATATAGTTCAAGGTTGTACTCCATGTGATTATAGCCGCGTCGGAACTAACTCAGCCGGATAACACCAAGGCAAAAGAGCCGCATACAGACTGTCTTATGTGTCAAAGTTCTTTACATCGTTAGAGTAAATAAATGGCTTTGTGGGTGGTGGGGGGGGGGGGATATACGTGATGATAATGTAAATACGATATAGTTATTTTTAACGATACAGCCACACGAACCAAACAGTCCAATTGGTGAGGATATGAGGATTGAGAATAACTTATATCTATTTTTATTCGTTTTAGTTATTTTTATTTTTTATTTTTTTATCTTTGTGTTAGTGTCGCTCTTAATTTGGTATGATAAAGTCCCCTTAATTACCTAACTACCACCTAACTACCCCTTAATTACCTCCTCTTCTTCCCTTTAACTCTCATTCCATTCTCAAAACACAATGTCAACAACAATTTTTTAATTAGACTTACCTGTTAATAGTACACGATAGAGAATAACACTTTGCATTAACTTACACACTAATTACTTACACTAATTACACACAATGAACTCCTCAACTCACTCTCTTTTCACCTCCTCTTACCTAAGATAATTATAATCGTCCCCCTTACACCAGGTAAATCAATGGACAGGGAACCCAATCATAAATTACTCTCATCAGGTATATAAGTCGATAAGTAACCCAATCAATAATCAATTCATCTCTTACCTGGTAGAGTTAAGGTTCCCCTAACACCAGGTATATATAATTCGACAGGTAACCCAATCATTAATTAACTTATATCTTACCTGATGGAGTCAAGGTCCCCAAACACCAGGTATATATAAGACAACAGGTAACCCGATCAATCATTAATTCATCTCTCTCTTACCTGATGGAGTCGACGTATTTCTTCTCCATCTTGAGGGCCACTTGGTGCTGGCTGGTGGAGAAGGAGCGGTAGGCTGAGGACTGTTCTGTAGCGTATTCCATCTGGGCCTTCTCGTCATGTAGAGCCGTGTGTTGCCAGCGACGTGCGCTCGGCTGCGAGTGGGGACATCGGTGCCGCCTGCAGGAGAGAGAGAACATCCAGTTTAGTGGGCGTTGGGGGGCGTGTGTATATCTCTCTCAGGTTAGAAGGCGTGTAGGAGGGCTTCAATGTGGGCGTGGGAGGGAGGGAGGGAGGGAGGGAGGCCAGGGCTGGATTGACCGGGAGAAGATGGCGTGGGTGAGACTGTGGGGGAGTTAGGGGAGGCCATGAGTGGAGTGACCTGGGAGAGTGTCTAGTGTGGGAGACAGAGGAGGAGACGAGGTGGAAGAATGAGAGAAATTGGCGTGAGAGAACGAGGAGACGTGAGAGATAGAGGAAGAGTCATGGTGTAGCAATTACGAGGAACATCACGAGAGGAGTAACGTGTGTGTGTGTGTGTGTGTGTGTGTGTGTGTGTGTGTGTGTGTGTGTGTGTGTGTGTGTGTGTGTGTGTGTGTGTGTGAGTAATTGAGGAATAAAAAGATATGTATGTGTGTGGGGGGTGTGGAGGCGTGGATACAGGTGGTGACCTAGACAGGGGGCAGGTAGCATCGCTAAATTAGGAGGTACACAGAGAAAAGGCAAGGTGTGTGTGTCTGTGTGTACGTGTGCCCGTGTGTGTGTGTGTATGTGTGTGTGTGTGGCACTCTGTGTGTGTGTGTGTGTGTGGCATACCGGAGAAAACCAGAAAGCCTTCAGAGTTGTATAAGAGATCGACAATTGGGGGCTGAGCAGGCCTGTTGATAACATCTCTTACACACACAGACACACACAGTATACAATATATGCTACCCCTTCCTATCCCGTCACCACCCCACACACGCCACCACGGCTTCCCTAGCGTGTTGTGGTTTGAAGTTTATGAATCATAATAACACATCGGAACTGTATGTGACGCTGTAGAGAGAGATATACTGTATGACGGTAGTGTTTAATGACCTTGTTACAGCGTCTCCCAACCATAACACATCTGTCACGCCGCCAGTTTGTGAGGGCCGTATGATGACACAGAATGATGCCATAGTTAGAGAGAGGACGTATGATAGAGAAGGATAATGACTGTCTGGTCGTTACTCATGATTGATATTACCTTGACGTGTAGTGAAGGAGGAGGAGGTTAAAGAAAGGAGGTTAATTTGTCGTTTTATTGAATTGTTTGAAGTGGTGGGGTCAGTGTGTGTGTGTGTGTGTGTGTGTGTGTGTGTGTGTGTGTGTGTGTGTGTGTGTGTGTGTAGTCTTTTTGAATCTTTTAATTATTTGTCCGGGCTAGGAGAAGGGAGAGATAGAGAGGGGAGAAAGGAAGGAGGGAGGGGAGGGAGGACAGGGAGGGAGGGAGAGAGGGAAGGAGAGACAGGGGAGGAGGGGAGGGAAGGAGAGACAGGGAGGGAGGGAGGGAAGGAGAGACAGGGAGGGAGGTATAGGCCGTGGCTTAATGCTCGGTATAGTGAAGAGTTTGCCCAGTATAATTCCGGTATAACGAGCCCTATAATCCCGTATAATCTGAGGTAATATTGTATAACGAAAAAATGTGTCCGGTATAGGAGTCCGGTATAGCGAGAGATTAGTCCGGTATAGCGAGATATTATCCGGTATAGTGAAAGTTTATTTACCAATAATTTGATGTTTAAAATAAGTTAGAGAAGAAAGACCACGGACCATAACCATCCCAGGGACCATGGCCAGACCACAGACCATAACCATCCCAGGGACCATGACCAGACCACGGACCATAACCATCCCAGGGACCATGACCAGACCACGGACCATAACCATCCCAGGGACCATGACCAGACCACGGACCATAACCATCCCAGGGACCATGACCAGACCACGGACCATAACCATCCCAGGGACCATGACCAGACCACGGACCATAACCATCCCACGGAATACGGACCATGACCAGACCACGGACCATGACTAAGGACAATACCCAGGGCCTCTACCATAAACAACTAACCAAGAGGAGGAACCATGGCCACTCATCACGACCACTGACCATAATCACAGACTACGACCACAGACCATGACCTTAGACCATGATATATGACCATGGACCATCAATTTACAACCACGGACCATAAACCACAACAATAAAAGCGAATCATGAAAAACCTCAAATCACAAAAAAATGACGACCATGAACACGACCACAAACCCAAAGACCATTAACCACAAACAACGGACCATGACCATGACCAAGGGGTGCAAGAGGAAGAGGTGGAAGGAGAAAGGAGGAGAGGCATATCCACAGACCATAGTCCCCCCCCAACAATGCACAGATGACCTCTACTACAATCACACAAGAGCAAAAACGACAGACAGACAGACAGACAACAAGGAAAGAAAGTTGGGGGGAGGGGGGTGGGGGGGGGGGGGGGGGGGGGTGGGAGGGAGGTGAGGTGAGGAGGGGTGGGTCATGAGAACAGCAGCAGTCATGGGCGACGAAGCAGGTGTGTGTAGCAGACGTGCAAATTATACTGCTGTAGGGAGGTGAAACTTGTGCTGGTGCAGGTGAAGGAGGAGGAGAGAAAGTGGGTGAGTGAGTGAAGGAAGTGGGTGAGTGAGTGAAGGAAGGATGTGAAGGTGAAACTTGTGCTGGTGCAGGTGAAGGAGGAGGAGAGAAAGTGGGTGAGTGAGTGAAGGAAAGGATGTGAGGAAGGTGAGGGAAGGAGAAGAGGAGAGGAAGAATATGGAAAAGAGAGGGAGAGAGAGAGAGAGGAAACGAAGAAATAGAGGAGAGAAAGGGAGAGGAGGGAAGGACACCCACACACACACACACACACACACACACACACACACCCCGTACACATCAGACAGACAGACAGTGTGTCACGGTAAGGTACAGAGGAAGGACCCCGTGTAATTATCCTTTATGAGGAAAAACATTGGAGGGAGAGTGAAATTCCTCCCTTGAGACACACACACACACACACACACACACACACCGCCTCTTTATCTGCCCCTCTCTCTCTCTCTCTCTCTCTCTCTCTCTCCTATGTTATCATTACTCTCCTCATCCCGTGTAGTGGGTGTGGGTGCTAGCTGACAGTGTAAACAAACATGGCCGCCACCGCAGTAGATGACTGTACACGGCCTCTGTGACTAAGCTCTTGTACACAGTCGGGAAACGGAGGCCGGTGAAGTCATCGCTGAGTGTGTGTGTAGTGATGATGACGAGGACGATTAATTGGAGAGACGAAGACGATAAGGAGAATTAATTGGATTGACTTTACTATACTGTCACTTGTGTAGATGTTATTAAGTTAAATCTAAAATACCCTTCACTTTCTCTCGACCTACAGACCCTCTCCTCTCCTCGCCCCTCCTCTCCCCTCTCCTCCCCTCTCCTCTCCTCCCCCACTGGCCCCGTTTCCCCTGGCACATGTCCTCTCCCCCTGGGGCGGCGGCCCTGGAGGCTTTCTGCGTGTTTCTAGGTGACCCTGACCCCGAGGCGCCCCCCCCCCCCATCTGCAACCACAAGCTGGGTGAGGTTAGGTGAGGGAGAGAGAGGAAGAGGGAGGGAAAGAGAAGGAGGAAGGAGAGAGAAGCAGAGAGGAGAGGGAGAGGAACTACCATCTAAACCCCATTTCCTGACTTGACTATTATTATTATTTTATTTTTTTGTGAGTATGAACGTAATGTCAGTCATCGTCTTGTATAAAGTGTAAACATTCAACTCATCTTAACGGGACGAGTTTTATTTTTTTTGTCACTGATTTTTATGTTTTTGGATGTTTTTTGTTTTGTATTGTTTTTTGTTTTTGTGATAGGATGAGTATTTGTGGGGGAGAGAGAGAGAGAGAGAGAGAGAGAGAGAGAGAGAGAGAGAGAGAGAGAGAGAGAGAGAACACCCCCAAGTACACAAACCAGTTCAACACACTGCTACAATATATTGTTTGTGTAAAGCGACCAACACCACGTCAGACCAAGACCTCATAGGGTGTAACTAATGCGAATTGGTGTACAGTATTTTATAACCCGTGGCTGACACTCAAGGCTGACGGCTGACTTTTGACACCTGGGCTGTGAAAGGGGAACGCATTTAAAGAACCAAATTTCTTTGGACGTGTGTGGTAGTAATGTTATTATTATTGTGTGTGTGTGTGTGTGTGTGTGTGTAGTAATGTGTGTGTGTGTAATAATAATAATAATAATAATAATAATAATTAACGGTTTATTGAAAGAGCTTGACAGCCAGAAGGCTGAAAATATACAGTTACATATTTGGGGAATGGGTTTCGAATTACAAATAATATACAAGTAACATAAGTGACACAAATAAGATATATAATAACTAGATGGGGAAAAGCTCAAGCTACAGTTCATTTCAACATAGTGACAGTGCAAGGAGTAGTGTTTACTGGGAGTGAATACACTGGTTTATTACAAGTTATTGATAATTTTTACAATGGTTGGGACTGGGCTGTTCTTATAGCGATCAGTTCGTGCACGTATGGGCTGGATGCGGTTGTGGTGTCGAACAGCAATTCTCGGACTCGGGATCTCAGGTGGTAGTAGGAACCGGTGTCGGGGATGGTGTAGAAGCTTCTTACCAAATTTGCAGATGAGGTCGTGGTGATGGTCAGTGTGTGTGTGTGTGTGTGTGTGTGTGTGTGTACCATAATAAACAAAAAGGTACTGGAGGGTGTATTTGTGTTTACGGTAAACCAGATGGAGCAAACCACCCCTTCCCCTCTCCCCTCACCCCCACCCTCCACTTAGTTTTCCATTACACACGCTAATTGTATAAGCTGAGCCCAGTATGTGAATCCAAGCAGGTGTTGCTTCACTTACCATCGTGGATTACCTTCAGTGTTGTATACGTGGGGAACTGTATGAGTACGTGGGGGTATTGTTAAGTAGGGAAAATTTTTATGTACGTTGAAAAGAGAAGAGAGAGAGAGAGAGAGAGAGAGAGAGAGAGAGAGAGAGAGAGAGAGAGAGAGAGAGAGAGAGAGAGAGCACTATACTCCTTATCATAAACCTGAATAAATACCAACATCAACGAAGACAAACATATAAATTAAAAATAGTCC